TGTGTATGTATTTATGTACGTATGTATATATATATATATATATGTTTGTATAATTGTATATATATATATATATTCATCTCTCGCTGAAATTGATACTAAGATGATTTATTTCTAATCATACCTCCATATGCATAACCACAGATTGAGAACATTCGCGGAATTGTCTTTGAGAATGATGCGCTGATGTTCTCCTTCCATGAAGTCACCAGCAGTCGCGACATACAACGGCCGCGCAAGATATCACAACCCTCACACGACGAGTAAGTGTACACCTGCTGAATGATGGTTGGTTGGTAGAGTGTGTGATATATATATATATGTGTGTGTGTGTGTGTGTGTGTGTGCGTTTGTTTTTGTGTTTGTTTTGTGTTGTGTTGTGTTGTGTTGTGTGTGCGTGCGCGTATGCGTGCGAGTTATGTGTATGTGTATATGTATGTGTATGTGTACGTATATGTATATATCAATATATATATATATATATATATATATATATTAGCTGAGTTTGTATCTGGTACATGTATCCTTCTTTGACCAAATCAGTCTTGGCCCCTCATCCCCACCTGATGTTGGCTTGTTTCGGCTACAGAGACATGTGCGTGATCCACCTACCTACCACTAACTCCTTAGCAGTCACTCGTCCGAGTTACACCACACCCACACAAGTGCGGCCCATTTAAGATTAAGTTACCAACATCAATATGTGAGTGAATGTAAACACCGACGCGCATAGACCATATTCGGGCCTAGCTCCAGCCTCGAGTACGGCTCGATTGAGCACATTCCCATGCTACAAGTACACGAGTACGAGCCAATTAACGTTTTAGGCACATTCCTATGCACTGCACCCACACACTACAATGTACGAAACACAAGTACACGAGTACGAGCCAACTAACGTTTTAGGCACATTCCCATGCACTGCATCTACACACTACAATGTAGTGAAGCCGCCTACCCCCCTGTATTCGTTTACCTACCACCCCCCGGGTATACAATGTGTGACTGTGGACTCTATCTTCTCCGCTCGACAGGTCTTGGCCCGGACTTAGGGCCTTCAGATGCAATACGTTGCACCCCTAAACCCTTTTGCGCTAAACCCCCAAACCCCTAGGAACATATACAGAGTAGTGCGGCTAAAATTGTGATATTTTGGCCCAGGCCTAAATCGTTCAACTCCAAAATAAAACCCTATACCCCTAACCCCCCAACCCCTGCAGGGATGCGTCCCGTTTTGGTGCGGCGGAGATTGTGATCCCTCGGCCCAGGCCCGACTCCACAGAAGAGGTGATGTTCTCACGCGGAGGCACGCACAACGCCATCACAACGGTCAGCAGTCATATGGCTGCGCTGATTATGGACGAGAGCACCAGAGGCTCCGTCCCCTCATCACCCGCGAAGGTGTGTGGGGTGTGGTGGTTTGGGGTTTGGGGGGGGGGTGGTTCTACTGGTGGTCGTGTATATGAGTAGGATTGTATGTATGAATTTTGAGTATATATATATATATATATGTGTGTGTGTGTGTGTGTGTGTATGTATATATATATATGTGTGTGTGTGTGTGTGTATGTATATATATATGTGTGTGTGTGTGTGTGTGTA